TGGACTCTTAAAAAATTTATAATGTTTATTGTCAGCACTACCCAAAAAAACAAAAATTGTAAATTATTAAAATTAATTGGAATTCTAAAAATAAAAATAGAGATTTCAAACACTAAAAAGAAAATTAAAAATAAAAATAAAAAAAATATTTTTTAAAAAAAGCTCAACCTCGTGGTCCTCCTTTTTGGAAAGGTATTTTTAAAATTTGAACCATCTTACTGCACGTTTTTATTTAATAATAATGAAAAAAAAAATATATATATATATATTTTAACTGCACATTAACTTCCCACTTCTAACCTAAACAAAAGGAGTGGTTAGTGATAAAATATTCAAACAAACGGACCAATCAACGTAACTGTTTTCCAAAAAATTCATTATCCTTTTTAAAATTAGTTTATAAATAACGGAAAATTAAATAGTTTGAAATTTCAATTTAAGATTATAAAATAAAAAATAAAAAATAAAATTAATTTAATTAAAAATTTTAAAATATGTGTAAACTTACTCAATAACCACCACAAAAGTTAAAATTTTTTTTGGTTAGTAGATATAAATGTGGGGTTGTTTTAACAAAATATAAACTCATGGATCAATTGTTGTATTAAAATATCTCAAATCATGAATGGTGATTTCATATCATGGTTTTTGGAGAATATGGTATCACCTCTCATGATATGGAATCATGAGATGAAATTGAAGGTTTGTTTGGACATGCGATATGGAATTTTTGTGTTGTATATTTTCTCATAAACATAAAAAGCCCATAAGTTATAAAACTATTAAAATAGCCCCAATTGTTTATTCAATCTTATCAAGTAAACAAAAATTATAAAATCGCATAATAAATTATTACAAAATTATTTGTTCTCCACTTAAGTAATTGTTTCATCTAATTTATTTGTTCACTGCATGTTCAATCTAACTTTCAACCTAACTTTCACTTCTCATCAATATTTGAATAATAAATGAAACACCTTTCATGGGCTCTTCAAAATTTTATTACTCCACAATTGTGAGGTGTGAGTTAAAGTGACTATATGTTGGTGAGAATAATAAATTTTAAAAAGTAATGATGTGATTATAAATTTTATTTACATATGAAACAAATGGTTAGTAGATATAAATGTGGGGTTGTTTTAACAAATATAAACTCATGGATCAATTGTTGTATTAAAATATCTCAAATCATGATATGAAATCACATGAGATATGATATCACCTCTCATGATATGGAATCATGAGATGAAATCAGCGTAAAATCGCATGTCCAAACGCTGATTTCATCTCACGATACCATATCGTGATATGATATCGCATGGCCAAACGCCTACTTAATAAAAACTGCAAACTCAAATAAAAAAATTTAAAAAAAAGAAAAAGAAAAAGAGGTCAACCTCTGCCCCCAACACAATATACATATACATGCGTAATCTCAGACACATTTAAAAAAAGGGCAAAAGCTTTTTGGAGAGAATAATTTAAGAAAAATAATTGATTTCGAAAATATTAAGACACATTCGTATTTTTTAGATTGCATTGTATCATTATTAAAATACATATTAACTAATTATAAATAAGTATTAACTAATTATGAATACGTGGCTGAAATAATTGTTCCATGCATAATGTAGTCTTTTAAAAACAAAACTTTTATTGAATTCACAAAATTAATTTAAAAAATTTAACAATTTAAGTTTTATAAAATAAAAATTTTAAATCTAATAATTACAAATATGGACAACAATGAATTTGAAATACATTCAGTTGTTTCAACAAAAATGTAGGCAACAATGAATATGTTAAAATAACAGTATTTTATAATTAACATTAAAATAATTTTAACTATTATTAAATTATTTTCAAACTTTTGAAAAATATTGTCTTTAACATTTATAACTGTTTTTCAAATATATCATCTCTCAACTCTTAATGAGCCTATTTTTATGGAAATGATTAATTACATTCCCATAATATATGGCTATATAATCTAAAATATAAATCATGTTTTTAATGTACTTAATTTTTAAACTATTCCATAACTTAATGTAATGTTTATTAGTTATAACTATCACATATTTAACTTTTATAGTGGATATACATTTTTTCAACTCAAAAATATATTTTTTTATAATTGAAGAGTCCGTCCTCCTTTTTTATATATATAAAAAATGTTTAGCTTACTTAGATAACACTTAGAGGAGTAGAAGCATAGACACTTGATCAATATGAAATGAATAAAGAGATGTCATGTATTTTTGTACACAACTTTTAAATTGACCATTAACATGAGGAATTTATTATTCAGATAAATATTTTAAAATCATTATGAATTTTTTTGAAAATGAATAAATTATTTAGTTTACGTAAAATCTCTCCATAGAAAGAAAATAATAAATAATTTTTTCATATATTAATTTGAGAGAGTGTACCAACATATTCTCTTAATTCTTTCATTCTTATTTATTTTTAATCATAATATATTTTTGAAACGTTTGTATAAGAAATATATAATTATAATATTTAGTTTTATCAAAAATGTTATTTGACGATCGTGCGCATGCATTTATATGATTTGTTCCTTTAGTTATATAAAAATTTATGATATTAAGTATATTGCATGAAAAATATGATGATAATTATATTTTAATAAAATCAAAATGATGTAATATATTTGAACAATTAAATAATTTTTAATAACGCGTGGGCACGTATACTAGTACAGTAAAAAACAATAAAATTGTTAAAACAAATACTGAAACGAAAAAAAAAACATAACAAAAAAAAAAGGAACAGACGTTAAAAAAAATAGAAGATAAAAAGTTTAAAAAAAAGAAGAAAAATACGCAACAATTAAAAATAAAAGAGAAAAGAAGAAAGCAACAGAACGAAAAAAAAAAGTGAAAAAATAAAAAAATAAAATAAGACGAGAGAAACAAAAAAAATATACATATACACATATAAATAAAATAAAAGAGTGACTACAATGATCTTATTTAAAAGGTGAAGAACAAGCTCCAAACATGGAAAGGAAAGATGTTATCTTTTGGTGGTAAGACAACTTAAATTAATAGTGTATTGCAGAGTATCGATCCCTATCTACACCCTCTCTGCAACTGTCTCTCCTAAATGTGTAATCACTGAATTGCACAAGATTTTTGCAAATTTTTTTTGGAATAATAAGGAAATAGGAAGAAGTAAATATTGGACTGCTTGGCAGAATATATGTCTACCTAGAGGTGAAGGTGGACTAGATTTTAGATCTTTAGTTGATGTCTCCAAAGCAATGTTAGCAAAGTTGTGGTGGAAATTCAGAACATGCAATTCAATATGGGCAAATTTCATGTGGAATAAATATTGCAAAAAAGAAATACCTACACTAGTGCAATGGAAAGGCGGATCTCAGGTGTGGAAGATGATGCTTGAAAATAGAGATATTTTAAAGAAGAACATGTGGTGGGAAGCAAGAGGAGGCACCACAAACATTTGGTATGAAAACTGGACCAAATATGGGCCTTTATGTCATGAAGCAGATTGTATTATTCGACCAGAAATGGAATCTATAAATGAGCTAATGAATGAAGAGGGATGGGACCTAGACAGAATCCAACAAGTACTGCCGGAGAGAATTGTTAATCATGTACAACAACAATTAAGCAATATTATGCCTAGTACTTTGTCTGACAAACATTGGTGGCTACTTAATAGCACTGGAAAGTTTAAGGTTAATTCAGCTTGGGAATTATTAAGAGAGAAGTAAGAAGAAAATCCTCAATACAAGCACATTTGGGTGAAAGGGCTGCCTTTTAAGTTTGGTTTTTTAACTTGGAGAATATGGGGTGATAAAATTCCAGTGGGTACTTACATTTCCAAGTGGGATAGCAATGTGAGCACATATTGTTTATGTTGTATAGTTTCTGCTCCTGAAACCATACAACATCTCTTCTTAACAGGTGATATAGCGAGAAGCGTATGGACCTATTTTACAAATGTTGTTGGACTTCATGGTCCTTGGATCCAAATAAAGCAATAAATACATAACTGGAGAGATGCTCCTGGCAATGTGAAGCTTAAAGCAATTTTGGATGCAGTCTCTATTTTAATTTTGTGGTTTCTTTGGAAAAGAAGAAACACTATTCTACATGGGAGTATTTATCCTTATGAAAAGGTTATTTATGAGATCAATAATACTATTCATCAATTCACAATTCGCAAATTCCCATTTTTTCAAAACTTACCAAGGACTGGCCTGCTATTGTGAATGTACTGGAAAAATGGGAGCCTAGGTTTAGACACAAAATTGTGAGGTGGATGCATCCTCCTGATGGATGGTATAAATGCAATACTGATGGTGCTTCTAAGGGTAATCCTGGCCCTAGTTCGGCTGCATTTTGTGTGAGAAATTGCTTTGGAGACATAGTGGTGGTGAAAGGGAGAAGAATACCAAATTCCACTAGCCTTGTAGCAATAAATGAAGGCAACAATTTCTGTATCGACAGAAATTTATTACCCCTTATAGTGGAGACAGATTCTCACACTATGGTTCAACTTTTGGAGGAGAGATGGGAGGTCCCTTGGAGTGTTGTTATAGAGGTTGATGCTATTAAAAGAATGAGGGAAGGTGTCCCTATTCATGTTAAACACACTCTAAGGGAAGGCAACACTCTGGCTGATTTCTTTGCTAACTTGACTATTAATTTTGCAGGTACTTACAGGGTGGAAATTTTTCAAGATATTCCAGCAATAGCAAAGAAAATACTCAACATGGATAAAATAAACATGCCTTTTTTGAGGATGACACAACTGGACAACTGATTAGTATATTCACAGGTTTTCAGTCACATAGTCAGCAACTACTGGAACAGAGGAAGAGTTTGATATCTACAATTTTGCCTGAAGTGATTTCAAAAAGCCTAATTACTATGCCACCTGGTGAGAGTTTAGGGTGTACAATGGTAATAGACATAGGCAAAGTAGTGGGGACGTCTCTTCTATGTTTCCTTGCAACTCTGTGATTATCTTGTAGTATCAAATTTAGGGGTAACAAGTTGCTAGATGGTCATTGATTTTGTTTCCGATAAATCCTTTTGATGTGTGGTATTAACCTCTTTGAGGTTCATTCTGTCAAGGGATAAGTTAGAAGCAGATTCAAAGCCATATAGTGACTTGTCATCATGTAAGTATAAGAAGTAATCTAGTAGTAAATTAGCAGATAATCTAGAACCTAGAATTTATCTTTTGATGTGTGGTATTAGCCTCTCCGAGTTTCATTCTATCGAAGGTTAATAATAGGGAACAGATTTGATGCTAGTTGATTACTATGTTACGAAATTCTTTTCCTTAAACAGTGGAGACATTGTAAGATCTAGTAATTTGGGGAATAAGAAAAGAAGAGAAATGACTAATTACTTCGAGCATCAGTCTTCATCCTTCATCGATTAAACCCGAAATCTCGAGACAAGACAAGAACCCAGCTACTAGAGCCTACAAGTACATCTAAATTTCAAATATTAAGTGAGATTACTTCATACGGAAGGATATACACTTAGCTGGAGGTATTACATTTGGAGAACAACGAGACGATCATCTGGTCTCCTTACCACCCTTCAAGAAGTGGAGAGGTCAGTTATGGAGGATGAGTCCCACCAGAAAATTGCCGCCGATCTGAAGTAATAAAGTTGGGGTTCAATTCCACAAAAAGTGTGGTGAGAGTACTTACATTTTGCAAACAAAATTTAATCCAAGAGCAAACTATAAAACATGAGATATCCTCATTCTCTTCATTATTTCAATATAATTTCTCAAGAGAATACCTTGGAGATCAAGATGAGACAATTGAACCAGTAAGGAAAACACGATTTTACTTCTTCATTCGATCCAAGTATAGAGTGGATAAATCATCGGTCAAGAGGAATATAAACGTGAAGAAAAGGGTAGCAATCTGCTTCTTCACTTTACTCAATTTAGTTTTGTTCATTAAGTCTCTTACTAAGAAGGACTCAAATTATTAATGGTGAGTTTGATTCTATTCGAATCTCATTCTCTTAATTAATCTTTTTTTTGACCGTGTGTTCATATATATATATATACATATATAGTTCGATCTACTAAGTGTCACAACTCTATAGTGTGATGCTTCCTTAGGTTTGCAATTTTTTTTGTTCTTTTCCCTTTCCTCTTTGTTCTGAATTTATGGACTACCACTAACAGATATGTTATTCTTCTTGGTTTTGTAAGATGTTTTTTTTTTACTTTTTTTATTTCCTTGAATTAGTGGTAGAATTAATTTCCTACGTTCAGTCCTAGATTTTGATTGTTTTATGTCTTATGGAGTTTAATTTAATCCACAATTTTGTATGAGTATATCTCAATTAGGGATGATAATTACTGATTGAATCAAATTTGTGCAGGTCATAATGGATCAAAACAAAAAATGGGTCAAGAACCAACCCATATCTAAATTTTCTTGGGTCAAAATGGATTAGGTAATGAATTATGAAACAGACCAAGATCCAATCCACATTTTATGAAGTTTTAATTATTTTAGTAGTACCTTATAAAAAAAACATTCTTTATTGTGGTTATATGTAACATATCGAATTTTTAAAAAAAAATTAAAAATATTTTGACAATATTTTGAGACAATTTGGATTACATATCAATCCAATTTTTAATGGATTGAATTGAGTTAGATTGAAATGAATTAAGCTAAATGGGTTGGACGGGTTAAGCGAGATAAATTTAATTTTGGCACCCCTAATCTCAATCTAGTTAAAGTTTAATTTAAGTAAAGCACGGTGATAATTAAAAAAAATATCTCCTTTTTATTCCATAATATTTGTCTTGTTGTAATTTTATCGAGATAAATGTCAAAAACAAACCTAAACTATCCCCTTTTTTTGAGTTTCATACCTAAACTATTGAGAGTGTCAGTTTCAAACCTAAACTATCATTTTTTTTAGTTTGAGAAACACACCTCAGTGGTGTGTGTAATGCACTCTCTCTTTTATTTGAAAAAACCTTGACACATGACATCCACATGGACAAAATATTTCACCTTGACAAAAATTAAATAATAAACTATTAATATAAATTAAAAATTAGGGAAAATGCATAAGTACCCCCCCAGTCTATGCCCAAAATCCCCAAGACACACCTAACCTTTACTAAGGTCCTATTACCCCCCCGAACTTATTTTTTAGTTAATTTTTTACCACTTTTTGGCCTACGTGGCTGAGTCCGTGACTTCACCTATGTTAGGCGCGTTGGTGCAATTTTTAGACAGCACTGACCAATAAAAATTGGCCATGTGTTAAAATAAAATTGAAAAAAATAACTATTAACTCAATTATCTTCTTCTTTATTATTATTCTTCATGTTTGGAAAAAAAAACCTCCATTATCATAAGTTAAATTGCTCCTTTCTTCGAAAAGCTAACAAAATAAAATCAAGAAAAAACTAACCTTTGAACTCAACCACGATTCTTGATGACTTAGA